GGCCTCCCAGAGAGCTAGGATCACAGGCGTGAGCCACCGCTCCCGGCCTTAATTTGTTTTTAATGCAAGGAAATAGACTGGATCAGACTTAAGCCTCACTCTGATCCAAGAGTCAGCAGGCAGGTGGGAAGATAATTGGATTATGAACTAGGAGATCTGGATTCTAGATCCATGGGGGTAGAGGCTTCTCAGAAGCCAACGACTGAGAAAATAGCTTCCTCCTATGATTTGAGATGTGCCAAAATATCTACCTGTCCTGAAATTTCCACTGTTAAAGTAATGTTAAGCATTAGGTATTAATGTCCAGAGGCTAATGTCCTTGTTAGGTCCCTTTTAAAGTGGAAATATTACCAAGAAGAGGAGAAGGGCCTTCCATTTACAACTTGGGTTTGTGGGAAGTACATGACCCAAAGGATGCAGCAGAGAGCAAGAACAAAGGGTTCAATGGAGAGTACCAGCAAAAGCCCGGATGCTGGCTTTATCGTGTGAGTCTTGAGGGGAGGACAAGTAGGATTGGGGTTGGTGTTGATGGGGGTTATACTGAGGACCCTAGAGGGGCAGTATGGACTTTATGGCAATGGACTATCTGGAGTTGAGTCAGGGACACTAATCTTCTTTATACGTTTTCCCCGGATGGGCTTTGTATTAAGGTAGGCCAAGGCCCACACACTTAGAAAACTAGTGGGCTATAGAATCTGCCCTTACCTAATCGGACCCAATTAGCTACAGTGAGATAAACTGAAATTCACTTCCACTCAACAAGTATTTATTATAGAATAACCAGTGCTGTTAACTCCATAACAGAGTTAAACCATATCCTTCAAATCTGGTTCAAACTCCTAGAGGCATTTGAACTAAGAGCCTACCCCAAAGAAATGTATGGACAAGCCCTCATGCCACTCTTAGTCTTGGGGAATATCACTCATTTGGGATACATAAAAAGTAATAATTTGCTATAATGACAGATATTTTAAAGTCACTACTAATACATTTGTCAAGGTATTAATCTATAATAATTGCTTATATATCCCCTTCCTGCCTATAAATAAGATTAGAAAATAACATTCCACAGTTCAAAAATGATTTTCACATTAAACTCAATCTTGAAGCACAAATGTGTAAAATAGGAATTCAAAAAACCTGAAATTTTACTTCCATAACTTTCATAAGCTTAAATTGTCCAGAGAAGAGATATCTTTAGTTTATATGGCACTGGATTTATAGCAAAAATCTGTGATTTGGTCAGGGTTGGGGAGAGAAGGCTGTTGAGCAGGAAGAGGTCTGGGAAGGAGCTTCCCAGCAGCTTGAGGTGTTAAGCCTCTTCCTCCCTGGTTTTGTGGATTCTCCATGGGTTCATGGGCCATGGTCACTGCACCCTCACTGTCTTCACGCTTTCAAGCATTTCTGAACAATGAGGAAATTTCCTTACCCATCCTTACTGTTGAGATAAAATGGAAATTTTAAAAAGATTTTTTGGCTAGGAACAACACAAAAAAGGATAGAAATGAATAATCCTAGTTTTAACACAATTAGTGCAAACAGGAAAACCCTACACAGTAACTGGTTCAGATTGATTTGTCTCCCCCGAACCCTGCTCCCATAATGTAATTTGTAGACCTTTGGTGACTTACCCTAAGAGGAAGTATAGTGACTCTGAAGCCAGACCAGTGAGATAACATCCAAACTCCATCATTTATTTACTAGCTGTGTGACCTTAGAAATGTTACTTAACTTCTCTGTGCTACTGTTTCCTTATTGGCAAACAGAAGATAACAGAATATCTACATCTTATAGGGTCGCTGTGCTAATTAAATACATAAATAACATACAGTGCTTAGTACAGTGCCTGAAACATAACAAATGCTCAACAAATGCAAGTTGTTATTATTCCTCTCCTAGAACTGCAAGTTAATGGAATACTTTCAGTTAGAAAATAAGCTCTCACATTTCTGTAAAAGTAGATTAGCACAACAGGTCAAATCACAACTTTCCAAGTCCCCACTCAGTAGGTTTAATTATTTGATTGGAAGGCAGAATTTCTTTCTTCACAGAGGTCATCATTAAATTACTCCCATACTCACACTCTTTTCCCTTGTCATCTATATACAACCCAGAGAGCCTCTTCTTCCCACCCTAAATCCTTTCCTCAACGGATGGGAGAGAGAAAATAAACAAATTATGTTTATTTGGTACATTGGATCTTATAGAGTATTTCCATATACATGATATAATTTGATCACTTAGGAGATCAGTAGAACAGGAACTCTTATCACTTAACAAATGAGGAGACTCCAGCTCAGAAGAATTATGCAATTTGCCCAGGATCACATAGCTATGGAACTGCAGGGTTGGAATGTGAGCTCCTTCCTCTCTGTGTTTTCCCCTACACGGTGCTCCTTGCAGTGGAAAGCTGGCTAGAATGTTGGGGTGTGTTACCACTTGTTTCCCATTTTATAATCTTCACGGGGCCCTAGATACCACCTCTCTCTTGATTTCTCTCCTTTACATCCTTTCAGCGGTGGATCTAGCCTCTTTATCTTGTCTTTCTCTCTTCCGTATAATCTCTGGGGAGGAGCCGGGCAGGAGTTGGGTGGCTGCCATGGCAGTGAACACGGAAAGGCTTTCCTGTCTTCTTTGTTTTGGCTAGCTAAGGTTGCTTCCTGAATTACGACGACGGCACAGTTCTTCTGTGGCTGCAGCCTCCTAGAGCAAACATGGTGGTGGAGCTTGCTCCTTTCCATTCCTTAATATTTTAAGGTACCCACCAACTATTAATATCCATTGAAAATACCTGCCTCTGTTGCTCTTTTGGCCAGTAATCACATTGAACATTGAAATCGCAATATGATTTCCCGTCAAGAATTGCATTTGGTTTTTAAGAGGACTGGGCCACAGACACGTGGGCTGCCTGGCTTTGCTTCTTAGGCGGTTTTCAAAGCTGTGGCTTTTGTTGTGACTGTATCAAAGGTTGTCATGTCTTGGTTCTTTCTTACCTGTCTACTCTACTTACCTTCCTGCTAATATGCATAGCAAAGATGGAAGAAGCTCACAGAGATTGAGGAAGCTCTGAAGTTGGGCATGGAAAGTTGCAGAAACATCTCCTGGGCACAGATGCTTTCTGAACTATGTTGCAAAAGGCAAGCCAGCTAGAAACTAGCCTAAAGACACTAATGCAAAATGAGACAGGAGACGACACACTTATTTGGTATTTCTAAAAGTCTGTATAGTTATAGTGAAACCAAAAGTGTTACCAGGACTAGCAAAGGGAGAGGGGGAG